ATATATATATATATATATAATATAGATTTATGTAATAATATTAAATATTTAAAATAATATGAGAATCATCCTGTAAACTATTCCAGATTGACAGCATGTTCATTACAAAATTTATTGTCAGAGAAACAGAGAAAAAGAGAGAGAGAGAGAGAGAGAGAGAAATTTCATTTGTCGATAAATAACAAAACGGGATAGAGAATGAAAGGGATTACAACTGCAGGCTAGAAAGGTATCAATAAGTTTGCAACGAGAATTTCCGTGCGAAATATGATCGATGTTATTGATGATAAATCGAGGTAGATGTAACTTTTACGCTGTGACATCGAATGCTTTTGGTGTCAATCGATTTTTTTCCATGAAACATGGAACGTTGGACCTCAGTGGAATTCGGCAAATTTTTGTTTTTTATTCTCGGGGATGTTACGGTTTCCGGAATTTCGATAAAGTTATAGCTATAGACAGTTTGGCGCACGGGAAAAGTGCGTGACGCCCCGATCGACCGAGGCCGCTTTGACGTCGATATTTTTATTAGTACTGACAGTCCAGAACTGCAGAATTTCTGAAAATCTTCAGGATTACGTTCTGTTAAAAAATATCGTTTCATACTCGTAACACATCGTTTTATTGGATAGTTTTTAATTTTCAATGATGTCATAGAAATATGGAAATAAAAAAAAGGATTAAATTATCTTTGCAAATAAAAAAGAGAGAAAGGGAAAGGGAGAAACGATGGCAACAGTTAAGTTATTCCGACACAATTCTGTTTAATTCGATCAGTGGCACGAATAACGCCGAGATAACGTTTTTCCGCATTTTGCATTGGAAATTTCACCGAGTCATATTTTTAAACGTGTTCGTCCACCTCAGTGAAGTTCACGAAGTACATTCGTGCAACTTTTTTTGACGTCAGTCACCGCCGCACGCGACGCGACGGAAATTGATTGCCGAAGTTCCATCACTTATACGTTTCAATTTAAAAGCGAATTGAACGCGTTTAGGCTTTGTGCGTGCAGGTGCGAATTCTCGATGCAAATTCTCCGTAAAATTATTATGATTATTGCGCTTGAAAAATAATCGTATGCGAGAAAAACGCCCGACACTGATTCGTATTGCGCAACTGTACTGAAAAACTTTTACCATTTTATCAATGTAACCATTATTGTCGGAAGAAGGACCACTTTCGCGCGCTAAAATGCACCGGGAAAATGTGCAAACTGTTTTGACGAACGATCGCATAATGCAGCAGCTGTGAACTCGATTGTGAACTGTTTCGCGAGCATGTGTGCGATCTCTATAAAGCATTTTAAATTATACTAGTACACGGACACAATGCATGATAATAAATAAAACATACTGCTGACTACTGTTAAATTTTCTGGAATTGTTGGAAGGAGTATCTCATAAATTCCTATTATTTATAAAACGCATTCAATAACGTTGTAGCCGGTAATAAAAAAAAAATAAATAAATATGATGAATTATAAAATTCTCTTATATATACATACGTGTGGAATATTTTATACACATACGTGTAATTATATTCAATTAATTCAATATTCAAAGATAAAAATTTTGAAAGGGTAAAACTGGTTCATATTTATCGTATCCATACACACACACACACACACACACACAC